CAAAAAAATGGTAGCTTTTCTTCGAAAAAATGACGTTTTTCAGAACGGTAACTCATTTATAATTAATTTTCGATTGTTAAATAGTTTTTTTTGTTAAATTGAATAATACCGTTGGATTTGTGAGAAGATTTTACCCCCCAAAAGTGTGGTTTTCAAAACATTTCTGTTTTTATCCTCAGGAAATATGTACAATTTAAGATGTCAAATCCAAATTCGCACCATTATTCTATTAGTAGGTGCTCGAACGATGTGTGCGGTTTGAAGGTTAAAGGACCATAGTTTATAGCTTTTCTTGTTTCTCGCATGTTTACAATTGGTTTCGAACGGATGTTACGAGTGGCTCATTAGCGATTTCGAAAATTTTTTCAACGGAGGGAGCGCACGGTTCATCGTATGATGATAATATTTCAGACATTTCGTTCGAAATAGTCGGCACAGTTTTTGAACGTTTCAGCATTGATTTAACCGGAGTAGAGGCCATTGTAGAATTGTCTAACGAAGCGTTTGATCTTTTTCGTTTGGGTGTTGATTTCATATATTCTTCGTCTGCTCCAGAAAATAACGATTCGTTCTCGACCAATACATCGTCGGCGGTGTTTTTAGCAATTCGTTTTAGAGGCTCGATGATGGGCTTAAAGTGTTTCTCCAACGCGATATCTTCTTTCATTCTACCAGTTTTCAAAGCGCGATATTTTTTGCGAATGGAATCGCTCGTTTTCTCAATCTGTTGTGTATTCTCTCGCAATTCTCCATGTCGCGCTCAGAAATGTTGCACAATCGATGTATCGACAACAACTAACCACTTTATAGTACCGCAAAGTCGTTAAATCCTTTTCTATATGATAAGCCCACTGACAAGTGTACTGTCCTTGTCATCACTACAAATCCATACTTTTGTTGCCAGCAACTGTGGCACAATTTACAGAAATCTTCGTAAGACATGTCGGTGTTTATATAATCGTTGTACACATTTTTCAGATCTGTATCACCCTGTTTAAACAGGATCAAAAGATTCGCGTTGTCGCATCATATAAGATGCTTCGGTATCTTTGCATAAGTCTGACAGAGATAGAAACTGTCAACGTCCGCGTGTCGGCCCATTGTAAAGTAGTCTCTTATCGTATCTTGCTTGTCGCATGCCACATCATCAAAGATAGAGATGGAATTCGGAAGCGCTTTGTTTAGCGGGACGACGTCGCTGTTATTGGAGAATGTATAATAGCCGATTTCTTCTATCCAGGTCAATAACTTCTCCAACTATTGATATTTCGGTTGTTGCAACGATTTCGAGTACACGTACACGTTCTCGAAGCGTACGCTGTGTAGACTTTCCAGCAAGCTTATCAGTACGTTTGTCTTGCCCCAGTTTGATGGATCACAGATGATGCCGCGTATAGAAATCGGTAGCATGTTTCCATGCTTACGTATCTTTTTCTCGAACATTAACCTTATCTTGTTTATCATCATTACATTATCATCAAAATTTGTCACTTTTCATCTGCGACTGTCGCACGAACCGTATCTTTCCTCCCTCCACATAATACCCAAAAGAATTTATCGAGAGCGGCCCTATTTATAGAAGCGCATAGCACAAACGTGCTCAGTTGCCAAAATGTTTCTTATCGTGTCGGATATAATAGTGATATTTTCAATTTAACCAACAAAGAATTAGAGTATATACCAAAAGTCGTTTTGCTGCGAGAGTTTTCGAATTGCATAAGTCAATTGTAAGACAGATTACCTGAGCATATAAATAAAGCTGATTCGGAGGTTCAACAGTATCGTCAGTGTGTGAAACATTACAATCAACCGTGGCAGTGGATGCACATTGACGCGCCGTTTATAAAAAATTGCAGCCGTCGAGAGGCCGCGGTTTAATAAATCGCGCGATAAATGCGCTTTTTTTTTAATTGTATATCCCCGGTTATCAGTTTTGCGGTTCGGCAACGCGTTTAGAACACCGATTGGCTAGAGATGATCGAGAAATTAATTCGCTGGACGCGCCGTGAATCGCGAACACGATATCCTATTCGCAGAGCAATGATCTTGCTGAACGACACGTGGCCGACAACATACCCGCCGCAAAAGCGCGATAACGCATAACCGCGAGAGATTCGACTCTCGGAGAGACAACCGCAGCCACAGCTGTTTTGGCGGCTATGAAAACCGAGACGAAATTTGGTATGAGTTTAAAAACGAAGAGGAAAAGGAGCAAGCGAATACTTCCGGTAGCTAAACGCGAAGGTATCCTATTACTCTTGCAATTATTGGGCGTTGTCGGTTCGTTGGTTGGTGGGGCGGCGGGAATCGCGAAGGCCGTGAGTGATAACAAACTCGCGCAATGTCAGCTGGAAGAATTGAAACGTCACAATCACGTCATGGAAGATCACGAAGTTTATCTCGCTCCGTATAAGCGCGGCCGAAGCGTTTCGACGCGGAAGAAAAAAAAACGTTAAAATTTCCAACAGGCGCAACTATCAACATACAACTGCAACAACTGGCAGAACGTACGTTCCATATTTCAGAGGTATTTTCATGTGAACCACTTTACCAACGGGAGGAGTACGTCGAAATAAAAGCGGTATCGTGAATTTGGACAATGATGAGGAACTCGGTACTCCTTGGATGGCATACGCGAAGAAGGGGAATCGTTGCTATATATTTCGATAGTTTTGGTAATCTTCGACCACCGAGGGAATTGGTGCGATATCTACGGGACAACGAGACGCAAATCGAATTTAATCGCACGCCTTATCAACGTTAGGATCAAAACAATTGCGATTAACTGTGTCTACAGTTTCTACGAACGGTAGACACAGACAATCTATTTAAAGACAGAGATTGCAACATTTAGACTCAGTAT